GTCCGTCGTATGAGTTCCGGATAATATTGACAATCTTCTCAGGAACTCCGTAGTGTCGAAGAAGTTTCCATAATGTCCTCCTATCTACACTGTCGAATGCCTTTTCATAATCAATGAAGTTGATGTATAGTGATGAGTTCCACTCAACTGATTGTTCGACGATGATCCGTAGTGTTGCAATTTGGTCTGTGCACGACCGATCCTTACGGAATCCAGCTTGTTGATCTCGAAGTTGGGCGTCTACTGCATCCTTCATCCGGTTCAGCAACACTCTGTTGAAGACTTTCCCTGGTATTGACAGTAGTGTAATGCCTCTGTAGTTTTCACATTTGCTCAGATCTCCTTTCTTTGGAATCTTGACGAGGTGTCCTTCTTTCCAGTCCATTGGCACTTGTTCCTCCTCCCAAATCTTTTTGAATAGAAGGTAAAGCATGCTTGTGGTTGCTTCGATGTCTGATTTCAGTGCTTCAGCTGGTATGTTGTCGGGTCCTGCTGCTTTCCCGTTCTTGATTTGTCTGACGGCCATTCTAATTTCTTCCGTCGTTGGTGGGTTGACATCTATAGGAAGATCTGTGTGTGCTGCTTCGATGTCCGGTGGATTCATTGGAGCCGGCCTATTCAGGAGTTCCTCGAAGTATTCTACCCATCTGTTACGCTGTTGTTGAATTTCGGTGATTGGCTTGCCTTCTTTGTCTTTGACCGGCCTCTCTGGTTTACTGTATTTCCCTGCTAGTTTCTTCGTTGTATCGTAAAGCTGTTTCATATTTCCTTCTCTAGCAGCTTTTTCTGCCGTCGTTGCTAGTTCTTCCACGTATTTCTTCTTGTCGGCTCTAATGCTCCTCTTCACTTGTTTGTTTGCTTCTATGTATTCAGCTTGTGCTTGGACTTTCTCTGCTCGTGTTCGGCTGTTGTTAATTGCTGCCTTCTTGTTCTTCCTTTCTTTGATCTTGTCCAGTGTTTCTATAGAGATCCATTCCTTATGATGGTGTTTCTTTAGGCCCAGAACCTCTTGACACGTTGAAGTTAATGCTTCCTTGATGCCTTTCCAGTTGTCCTCCATAGTAGTTTCTTCTTCCTTCAGTAGATCTTGTAAGGCTTGGAACCTGTTGTTGAGAGCTATCTTGAATTCATTGAGTTTGTCAGTATCTCGAAGGAAGGCTGTATTGAACCTTTGTAGTGCTGTTTGTCCACTTGTCCAGTTCTTTTTTAGCTTCAGTTTTAAATTGGCTACAACTAGGTGGTGATCTGAAGCTACGTCAGCACCTCTCCTGGTTCTCACATCTTCCATTGTCCTTCGGAATTTTTTGTTGATGCAAATATGATCTATTTGGTTCTCTGTAGTGTGGTCCGGTGAGATCCATGTAGCCTTGTGTATACGTTTGTGTGGAAATATTGTGCCTCCTATGACTAATTTGTTGAATGCACACAAATTTGCAAATCTTTCTCCATTTTCGTTTCTCTCTCCCAGTCCATGTCGTCCCATAATATCTTCATATCCAGTGTTGTCTATTCCGACTTTGGCATTTAGATCTCCCATCAGAATAGTTAGGTCCTTTCTTGGGCATTTCTCAATGATTGACTGCAGCCGCTCGTAGAACTGATCTTTAATGTCGTCGTTGCTATCATTGGTGGGTGCATAACATTGGATAATATTCATTAAGATCCCCTCCTTCTTTGTTTTGAATGATGCTTTGATGATTCTGGATCCGTGAGATTCCCATCCTACAAGTGCATTTCGTGCTACTTTGGACAGCATTAGAGCGACTCCCTGAGTGTGTGGAGCATTTTCCTCTTCGTGACCGGAGTATAGCAGCATCTCTCCCGTAGCTAGCCTTTTCTGTCCAGCTTGGGTCCAGTGGGTTTCGCTGATTCCCAGTACTGCTAAGTTGTATCTCCTCATTTCCATTGCTATTTGACTGGTCTTCCCGGTTTCCCACATTGTTCGAACGTTCCATGTACCTATAAAAATTTTTGCTCTGGTTGTTAGAAGGGGCATCGGCCTCGTGGCTTCCGAAGGAACTCGGCTTTCACCATGAAGCGTCATAATTCTTCTAAATGAAGACCTTCTAACTCTCAGGGCAGAGTTTAAATGGTTTGAATTATTTTTTCTGGTAAGCGTTTTTTTAGCGAGTTAGTTTTCTACGGGATGGGGACGCTAACCCCATGCCCAACCCTCCTCCTTTACCCGGGCTTGGGACCGGCAGTAACTCTAGAAGAGCTACAGGCGGAGTTATATCCGAATCTACCTACCACTATATAGCATAGAGGCTGGCAGATCCCTGGGAATCTGTAAGAATACGTATTCGTATCCGTTCTACACATGAAACTTTCGAATTTATTGACTACATGAAAGAAGTAAATGTTAGTGACAATTTAAAACATGATTCATATGATCATGATTATGAACTGGCTAAACTCCACCTGAAGCTCTTCTAAGATTACTGCCGGTCCCAGGATCTGGTGATGGAGAAGGGTTGGGCATGTAGTCAGTAACCCCATCCCTTAGAAAACAACATTGCTAAAAATACGTCGACCAAAATAAATAAATTAAATCATTTAAACTCTGCCCTCTGAATTGAAGGATCTTCTTTCATAGCAGCTATGAAGCCTCATAATGTAAGCTGAGATCCTTTGGAAGTCACGAGGCCGATGCCCCGTCTAACAACCAGAGCAACAATTTTTATAGGTACATGGAATGTTCGGACAATTTGGGAGACCGAGTAGACTACTTGACGGTGCTCGAAATCAGTGAAACTCATTAGACTCAAGCTGGACAGAAAAGGCTAGATTTGGGAAGGATATTGTTGTACACACATTCAGGGAGTTGCTCTGATGCTGTCCAAGCAAGCAAGAAATATACTTATTGGATGGGAATCTCATGGATCCAGGATCATCAAAGTATCTTTCAAAACAAAGAAGGAGCGAATCACAGTAAATGTTATCCAGTGTTATCAATGATAGCAATGACGAAGATAAAAATCAGTTCTATGAGAGGCTGCAATTGAACGTAGTGAAGTGCTCATGAGATGACCTGACCACCCTGATAGGAGACCTAAGTGCAAAAGTCGGAATGGACAACACCGGGTATGAAGATATCATGGGACGGCATGGACTAGGTTAAAGGAATGAGAACGACGATAGATTTTCAAATTTATATGCATTCAACCAAATGATTATAGGCAGCACAATAATCCCACACAAACGCATGCATAAAGCTATATGAGTCACACCAGATCACAATACAGAGAACCAGATCGATCATATTTGCATCACTAAGACATTCAGGAGGTCAATGGAGGACATGAGAAACAAGAGAGGAGCTGACGTAGCTTCAGATCACCATCAACTGGTGGTCGCCAAGATGAAACTGCCAAGATGAAAGAAGCACCGGACAACTGTGGAGACAGCATTACAAAGGTTCAATACAGCCTTCATTCAAAATACTGTCAAACTCAAAGAATTTAAGATAACTCTCAGCAATTGTTTTCAAGCGTTATAAGATCTACTCAAAGGAGAAGAAAATTGACTTACTTACAGATTGGCCACTTATCAGCATTCTCCAACTCACTCTCACCTGCGACTTCCTTTCCAGTTCTATCCAATTGTTTTTCATGCTTCCAATGTCTATCTCCATTTCTTGGCGTAATGTGTTAGTTGGTCTTCCTATTCTCCTTTGACCTTGAGGATTACAAGTGACGGCTTGCCTTGCAATGCAGCTTGGTGCACTCCTCAATGTGTGTCCTATCCACTTACAACGCTTCTTCTTCTTCTTCTTCTTCTTCTTTCTCACTTCTTCCTCAACTGCAATCTGATGTGTTCTCTCTCACACTAGGTTGTTGCTGATAGTGACTGACCAACGGATCCGAAGTATCTCGTGTAGACAACTGTTACCAAAAACTTGTATCTTCCAGATGATGGTTTTTGTAGTTCTCCAGGTTTCCTCCTCATACAGTACAACTGTCTTGACATTTGTATTGAAAATTCTAACTTTGGTGTTGGTTGACAATTGTTTTGAGTTTCAGATGTACTTCGATGGGAGATATGCTACTCTTGCTTTGCCAATCCACGCATTCACATCTACATCAGATCCACCGTGTTCATCAATCATTCTGCTCAGATATGTGAAGGTTTTCACATGTTCCGAAGCTTCTCCATCAAGTGTGGTTTGATTGCTGCATAATGTATTGTATCAGAGAATCTTGCTTTTCGTTTTGTGTATGTAGAGCCCTACTGCTGCTGATGTTGCCGGTGCTACACTGATCGTCTTCTCCTTCATTTGATGTTGTATGTACGATAAAAGAATCAGATCATTTGTGAAATCTAGATCTTCGAGCTGTATCGTATCTGTCCATTGTATCTCATGCTTCTGACCAGATGTTGACTTCTTCATGATTCAGTCGATTACCAGGAGAAAGAGAAAGGGTGAGAGTAAGCAACCTTAGCTTGACTATTTTTATATAAACATATACATTTGTGTATATACTTTTATCACTTATTCCATTTATCATATATGTTTAGCTTATTTTTCTATTTTGCTCAAATTAGTCACCTTATCAAATCGAGTTGGCAACCACATTTTCGTCGCATAGTTTCTTTTGTTGTCTGTCTAAAGTTATGAGTTTATGAAATATTTATATGGCAAAATTTTACTCATATTTTATTCCATTATTCACTAATATGAATAAAGTTGATAAATATGTAGGACAAAAGGCGGAAAATCTTATACATTATCATTATTATATAATCTAATTGAAGTCAGATCGCCGGCCACAGTAGACTGTTTGTTTGTTTGTTTTTTGTATGAACGAATTTTACTCAGTTTTGTGATGAAGTATTCAAATGTTTGTCTCTTTGTTTTTTTTCCGGCAGTTGACCAATCAATGACACATTGAATGGTACCATAGAATGGTGCCATAGCAACACATCGATATGGTCTTCTAAGGTTATAAATACAGAATAATCATAAGAAGAAAAAGGAAATAGTTTCGACAACAACAACAATGTATCGTACATTACTGTTTATTGTCAGTTTCTTTACTTTTTCGTTAATTAATTTATCAATCCAAGATGGTATGTACTATTATTCGTTTATGGTTAACTATTCAAAAGTACTTACTAATTGTCTATATTCATATTGTTTATACCATATTATAATGATGAATGTAGTTTATCATTCATAAACATATAACTATTCTACTAAATTAATTGCTAAATTTATGAGTCAATTTAAGGTAGATCATCATGGAAAACTTTGGAAGCATTCGATAGCCATTTCGAACTAGTGGATCGTGGATGCGCACTGTTGAAGAGTCCTACAATAGGACGAAACGGAAGTCTAGTTCTTACAGGTTTTCTATGATGGTCTAGTTTCAATTGACTCATGATCTCAACTACTTAAAAAAATAAAACTGTATTATCAGAAGGCGAGTTTTTTGGTGATTTCATGAGTCATTTAAATCTCCACATCCCCATACTGATATTCATTAATTATCAAAATATTATTCATATCATATATATTATCTTTATTTATACTCGATATAAGCAAGAGCTCAACATAATCATTAACTTGTTGAAATCATGAGTTAATTGAAGCTAGACCACCATGGAAAACCTGGGAGCACTGGACGGCCATTTCGTCCTAGTATGGGACTCCTCAGCAGTGCTCATCCACGATCCCGCACCCCGCGGGACTCGAACTCTGGACATATCAGTCTCGCGCCAGGCGCTTAACCAACCAGACCACTGAGCTGGCATCCAACGGTGTTAATGTCTAACTTCAACTAATCTAGCTTCAATTGAATCATGATTTCAACAAGTGAAATTTCTAAAAAATCTCCACAAAACCCATTCTGATAAGAATCGTTAACGATATCATTAAGCGCATCTAATTCTATTGACTTTCAGTTGAACATTTGAGATCCAAGAAATTATCCATTGAATATTCACTTGAACAAAATAGAAGTACGTTCTTTTCGTTTGACATGAACAAATTCAGATGGAATTACTTATATTGAAAGTATAATCATTGTTAACTAATTATTTTATTAATTCTAATGAATACTAAAAAATATGAATGATGGCTAGAAATGGAATCCAAGACGTATATTTTGTCCTATTTAGAACTTGTCCGCTGAATATACTTGCCTCCCAGAGGTGATGTTCACTACGACACTTGAACACTGTGCCGTTCACCTCAATAATAATAATATTAATACCGAATAAATTCAATGAATACAGTTTAGTATTGAGTTAATAAAACTATACCATTTTGAAAGTCTAAGATACAAATCAACTGATTATTAAGTAGTAGTAGTAGTAGTAGTAGTAGTAGTAGTAGTAGTAGTCGTAGTAGGTCATTGTCATAACTATTCAATTTTCATTACTGTCCGAATATTATAACACTGGAATAACTAAACTAGGTGACATGAAGTGATTTATACCTTGTAGAATTTGAATCAATCATGGGTTATCAGTTACGTTAAGATGATAAATAGACTGCAGTAATAACAACCAGCAAAGGCAATATTTATAATAAATGATCTTGTAAGATAACACTCTATGTTAAACAAGTGATCACTACCGACCTGAAGAGTTCTTCAGTTATGTAGAAGTATTTAGAAACATGAATACATATTTCTTTTTAATATGTTGTTTCTTTTAGATCAAACTAAACAGGATGTGAAATATGCAATAGACGCTTTAGATGAAATTGAGACATTACAAAGTAATTCAAATCTCTCCTTTTAAATAGATGTATATATATACAATGACATTTATTATTATATTATCATCACTTCGGTATACTATCTAACATACAAATCTTAATTACTTAGTGTACGCCTGTTATCCCTCATGGAGGAGTATATGCCGCTTACCACTGTTCTCTTTCTAACTGTGTCCTGGGCAATTGTTCCCAGTTACTATTCATCCTATTCATATCTACTCTCAATTCTTGATGTAATGGAAACGTATCACAAATAAGTAAATGATTAAATGCAGAAGTAGTGTATCAAGTGAGAGAACATAATTCACTGTGATAGATTTGCATTTATACAATTGCTAATTTATTTCATGATTTAAAGAATGATATCATTATTGTCGACATTCATGAAATCTATTATGGAAGACGCAAGTATACCTAAGTATCGTCGAGATAAGCAGATTCATTATTGTGCTCCATACAAACAATTATCAAATATTCAATGTCTATTTAGCTTCACAAATCAAGTACAATCCAATCAAATCAGATGTGTAAGCATTTTCAAATAGATTTCGGTAAAGAGATAAACATCAATTGAGCAAACAACTAATGATAGTGACCACATTTCACACACACACATATAGCCATAAATCGTTCCACAATATCGAATATTTTACATCATAGTAATTCGTATAGAGAGAGAGCGTTTCGAATGAGACATTTGTACTTTATATGCAGAGTTTGAAGTTGTGTAGATGTGTTCTTCTGTATATTGGATTGCATCAATTGATGTGGATTTTATTTGGTATAGTATTTTAAAGAAAATGATTAGGTTTAATTGAAATCTACTCATGGATCAGCGTTCGAGTAAAAGCTTGATCCATGTTGATATGCAATTTAAGATGTAATGATTAGCAACGTAATTTTATTGTGAATACGAAGACTAATTGTGAATAGGTGTACAGTATTGTATGAGTATTGGAATTTATACTTCGTATTTTACAATACACAATTAATCATAATGAAGGTTATGAATTTTCTTTGCTGGAAGTTGTTAAAGTTAAGAATTCTGTGTTAAGATCGGTTCTTAAAATATCATAGTTTAAGTACTGAACATGTAGTCCCATTCAATGAGTTGAACAGTTCACATAAATGAATATTGTGATCTAGATTAGTATTGCATCATCATTAATAATGATTATTGAATTATCAGGATAACTGGACAGCCGTTTCGTCCTATTGTGCGAATCCTCAGCAGTGCGCATCCACGATCCCGCTTGCAGGATTTGAACCTAGGGCATTCAGTCTCGCGCGCAAATGCTTAATCTACTGAATCATTAGAACGGTATTCAATGGTGTTAGTGTCAAACATCAACCAATCCACGAAATCACCAAAACGACCTTCCATTGCGTCTAGGTTCCAACGGTGGTCTAACATCAATCGGTTCATGATCTCAATCAAAAACTTAATAATCTCCACAACCCCTATACTAACTAGAATAACTGTATGATTCAGACAAATTGTATTTTTCTCAGATAATTCATGTATTTAAAGAGGAAGAATGTATTTGTAAAATCCCAAGCGAATGTATTTGAAGTAAATCCAACGTTCCACCTGGTAATATTTCATTGAAAAAGCTTGAACTAGATTATCAGACGAAACGTTGGATTTAATTCAAATTCATTCGTTTGAGATTTTACAAATACATTCTTTCTCTTTAATGTCTTGCATCGATTCGGCGCCCGAATACTGTGAAACTAATCAATCAAATTTCGACGAACTTTCTTATAAATTCATAAATTTCTTTTAATTTTCTAACTAAATAAGAATGCTGAAATCCACTTGGTTTTGTTTCACTTGAATCATCCCATTGATGTTTAGAACTGCAATTAACCAGTTTTTTTTGTTGGCACATGTGAATACTGTGTGTATTGCTTCGATGTTATCTTAATTCGCAAGCATTATAAGCAAAGATGGATAGTGGTTAGCAGTGAAGTTCAGGAAGCGTGTTTTATCTTATTTGGGACTTGTCAAATAGATATACCTGCATCTCAGGGTTGATTTTCACCCCGTGACTCGAACTCATTACCGTACGGATACTAGATAAGGATAGCAAACCAATGATGAAGCAGTGAAACTTCGTCAGTTGAAATGGCTGGGGCATGTGTTACGTATGCCCAGACACCGACTACACCGACGTGCGATGTTATATAGTGCAGGAGTAGGTTGGAAGTAAGATAGAAGCGGCCAGACCAAAACATGGCACAAATCCATGAAGTCACTGACAAGTGGACTGAGTCATGTTGGTAGGTGTGAACTACCTGGTTGGGGACCGCGAGATGATAGCAACGGATGGTTAGAGACCTTGAATGACATAGCTCAAAATCGTTTGCAATGGCACAGGTTCATCGACTCTTTATGTTCTCGCCAATTATAATCTTCTAAAATCTCCATGTCCCCTTCTCTTTTTTCCTTCCTCAAATTTATTTCACTGTTTTATACTCTTTGAATAACATCTTCAAACCTTAATCTATCCGATTACTGCTTATACTCTTACTACCTTTACTACTACGGGATTTGAATCGACAACTAGCATCTCTGTGCTAATGTGATATGCCAACTTGAACTGATGTTTGTACGTACAAAGTTCTACGTGTTCGCTAACTGACTGACTGACCGTTCGTTTCAAACGCCATCCTTAATAGGACGAAGTGACGAGCAACTTAGATTCTACTACTAATAGCCATTATGCATCTTTACTTATAAATCAGTATACATTTTATAAAGTTTTGCACTACATTAATTGTTTGTATCTATTCTATTGTAGATGAATTCAATAAAGGAATATCTGGTAATAACAAATCAATTAATAACTGTATGTAAACAAACAAACAAACTTATTATGACAAATTCAAACGAATTATTTTAGATATAGAATGTTGTAGAATAAAAGCGGAAGCATTTTTTGGTGCTTCATTAATGACAAGTAGTTTAAACAAACTATTGTGCCAATTTTTTCATTTATTTATTTATTTTTTGTTTTTTTTAAAAAAAAGAAAGGAACATTACTTGTAATCAATCAAAGTCATCTTGTTTAAGGATATTGAAATGTTCCATCCTAGGATGAAACAGTCATCTAGCGCTTTCAAGTTATCAATGATGATCCAACATGGATTGATTCATGATCTCAATCGATAAACTTAACAATCTCCACAATCCTATATTGATAATTATTATATAAACTTGAGTAGTTATATTTTGTTTGTATGTCATGTTGTCTACATACAATAAAGGTTAAGAGTTCACATGCAAGACCGAATGCCCTGAGTTCGAATTCCGGCGGGGCACTGAGCTCTGCTGAGGAGTCCCACAATAGAACAAAACAACCGTCCATTGATTCTATGTTTTCAATGGTGGTCTAACATCGATAGTGTTCATGATCTCAATCCAAAATTTAATAATCTACACAACTCCATACTGATAATTGTCTTTATATTATCCATTATAATTGTTTGGAACTCTTCAGGTATATTCAGTGAATCTTGTTTATATAAGATTGTCAAATTATTCTTAAATTTGATGAATTTAAACTCCAGACTGAACATGAACTCTGAGATGAAAGAATATTCAGTTGATGAATCTCGAATAGAGCAAAATCCTCGTCCTAGCCACTATCCATCTATGCTTGTTATTTCAGACAATAACGAAGTAATCCGCATATGATACAATATATGCCAATAAGTGACTGATCAGTCACAGTTCTAATTAGGCAAACATTCTGTTCGTAATACTGATAAATCAAATATATATACATACTTTGGTAAGCTTTAAATGTAATCGCTTCTTATTTAACATCTTTGTAGAAATAATCAAGACTATAGAAAATGGTGTAAATGAATATGGTAATCATTAGTTAGTATTACATAATTTACATTAACAATATTGACCATTTCAATAGAATATTTACAATTTCTGGGTGATGTTTTTGTTCTCAACAAGTTAGTTTTTTAAAGAGATGAGATCACTAACTCCATACCCAATCCTCCTCCTTTATCTGAGCTTGGGACTGGCAATAGCCCCAAAAAGGCACCTGGCGGAGTGAAAATAATTACAAGGTGGATATCATAAGTTCCTTTCATATTATATTTCATTCATCAGTTTATCATCATTTTGTTTTGTTAATGATTCATTATTCTGAGTAATTGATCAATTAATGTTTGTGATAAGTCTTGCAGATTGAACGCTATATTCGTCTCCTAAGCTATTCTGTAACCCCTAAGCTAGAACTAGATAGCGACCTGAACATGAGAGAGAAGACTCAAAGTATGTGAGAAGTAGTTTACTCCATAATTCATTTTAATACAGAAAATACAGGGGTTTTATAATATTTTAAATGTCTTTGGGTTGCTAAAAGATTCTGGAATGCTACTAAACATTGTAGCAGTGTAGCAGTCAACCAATCAAAGCCTCTGTATGTGACATTTCGCTTCCTTGATATTTTTGGCTAAGACTTCAAGTGAACACTGATTGGATGAAATGCTTCTTAGTGTTTCCTGATGTTTGCTTCTCTTTTACAAACAATTTTCTGGATCACCCCAAAAGTTTGATGTACACATTGCATTCTCATTTGAAGTTCATATTATTTTAATAATATTTCATAGGAGTAATAATACCGGAAAGTTCGAAATTAATCGACTGTTACAATGAACAACAGTCAATATACAAACGTAAATTTATTTTTATACTTATGTAATATAATACTGAAATTTACTACTAACAACTTGTGATTTTGAAGTAGATTCATATTGTATGAAATGTGTAATTGTAATTAAATATAATGAAAAAATATTCTAAGCAACGATAAATGTTGGCTAGTAGTACAATCCAGAACATTTGTTTTGTCCTAGTTTGAACTCTTCAGTTGGATGTTAAATCATTGTTCAAATAGTTGTTCAGTTTGAATACAAGGAAATTGATGCTTTCTGATTACTTACATACGCCTGTTACTCCTCATAAGAAAGAATAGACCGCCCATCAGAACTCTCCACCCGTAATGTATTTCATATCCACTTCTAACGTCTTTTCCGGATTTCCTCTTCAAATGGAAGCTGTTTTGTTCTCTTCCACATAAGGCTATTACTGATGGTATCCGGCCTATGGATATTGAGTATCTTATACAGACAACTATGTATAAATACTTGCACCTTCTTGATGACGGTTGTAGTAGTTCTCCAAGTTTCAGCTCCATACAGTAGAATTGCCTTGACGTTCGTATTGAAGATTCTCACTTTGATATTGGTTGAAAGTTGTTTTGAGTTGCGACCCTTGCTTTGCCAATCCTCGCCTTTACGTCTGCATCTGAACCTCCTTGTTCATCGATGATGCTTGCCAGATATGTGAAGGACTCTACATCTTCCAGAGTTTCGCCATTAAGTGTGATTGGACTGCTGGTTTCCGTGCTATATTTGAGGACCTTGGTTTTCTCTTTTTGCATCTTAAGGCCTACTGGTGCAGAGACTGCTGCTACACTGGCTGTCTTTATCTGCATTCGTTCGTGTGTATGCGATAGGAGGGCTAGGTCATCCGTAAAGTCCAAATCGCCTAATTGGTTCTGAGCTGTCCATTATATGCCGTGTTTTCCCTCAGATGTCGAGGTCTTCATAATCCAGTCGACCACCAGAAGAAAGAGGGAGGGAGAGAGTAGACAGCCTTGTCTGACTCCGGATAAGGTTGAAAATCTTCTCAGGTACACCATAGTGTCGAAGAAGGTTCCATATGGTTCTCCTATCCACACTGTCAATTGCTTTCTCATAATCAATGAAGTTGATGTATATTTATGAGTTCCATTCAATTGGTTGCTCAACAATGATCCGTAGTGCGTGATTTGATCTATGCACAGTTTCTAATTAATCAATCTAAATGATATTCTGTTACACCTACAATGTCACTATTAACACAATCTATGTATCCAACAACAAATTTTATTTCATGTAATGTGTTTGATAATGACAGACTTCAACGACCTTTTTCTCCCCCTATGATATTTATGGAAAATATAGAAATTATTTCCTTATAGTATCATCTATAGTGTGTTCAAATAAATACTGAACTAGACAATATCATTCCATTGAGTAACATCTTTCTTATCCAACCGCGACCAAACTGATACACATGACACAGATCACCACCCAGCGATCAATCAATTGTGATTACATCTCAGTCCTACAGGAAGTGGGTTGCGGCCAGCATATAGCCCAGTGGTAACGTCTCTGACTGTGAAGCTGGGTGACACGGGATAGAATCCGTCAGGGTAGTACCAGTTCCCTCAAGATTACAGGCACACCTTGCTGACGAGTACCAAGTAGCATGAAACCTAGGTCCAGAGTTTTCTGTTGACTACCTACAACCACTATCTTATCTCAACATAGTGCACACAGTGTTGAGTCACCTAGACTGGTGGCCAAATTGAAACTTGGTCGACAGCATTCGATCTGAACTAAGAAAGACTTTACACACATGACATTGTTCACCCTTCAGTGATCAATCAATCATGAATGATCTTGATTAGATAACTGATAAACATTTGACAGATATTAGAGAGATTTATTGAAGTGAAGGTTATAAACCAGTGTAAGAAATTCGAATTATGATCTACAGTTGATAGTTAAGGTTAGGAGTTAGGTTCATGGCTTTCATCACGAATTGTCATCAGCTAAAATGTCAAAACTTTATTTTACCAAATAGATAAATGAATTTCGCGCCAAAAATTCAAGACCTGTTATCTTAAATCTGATTGGTTCGTTCATGAATCATCACTTCATCCTATTTAATTCATAACAATAGACTAAATAATGAACAGAATTATCTAAACTTAGTTCTATAAAAATAAAACTAAATCTATACTAACTTTTCAATGAACATTTTTTCCACTTCTTAATAGAAATACGTTCTAAATATGCGAAGGATGCATGCATTGGACATAGTACATATCCTAGAAAAGGTAAACTTGAATAATCCACATTTTATAATACCATATTACTTACTTACTAACCTATTTACGGCTATTACTCTTAATGGAGCATAAGCCGCCGACCAGCATTCTCCAGATCACTCTCACCTGCGCCTTCCTTTCCAGTTCTATCCAATTTTTGTTCATTCTTCCAATGTCTGTTTCCATTTCTCGGCATAATGTGTTAGTTGATCTTCCTATTCTCGTTTCACCTTGAGGATTCCAAGTGACAGGTTGCCTTGCAATGCAGTTTGTCGCGTTCCTCAATGTGTGTTCTATCCACTTACAACGCTTCTTCTTCTTCTTCTTCTTCTTCTTCTTCTTCTTCTTCTTTCTCACTTCTTCCTCAACTGCAATCTGGTTTGTTCTCTCTCACACTAGGTTGTTGCGGATAGTGACTGACCAACGGATCCGAAGTATCTCGTGTAGACAACTGTTATCAAACACTTGTATCTTCTAGATGATGGTTTTCATAGTTCTTCAGGTTTCCTCCTCATACAGTACAACTGTCTTGACATTTGTATTGAAAATTCTAACTTTGGTGTTGGTTGACAATTGTTTTGAGTTCCAGATGTACTTCGATGGGAGATATGCTACTCTTGCTTTGCCAATCCACGCATTCACATCTGCATCAGATCCACCGTGTTCGTCAATCATACTGCCAAGATATGTGAAGGTTTTCACATCTTCCGAAGCTACCCCATCAAGTGTAGTTTGATTGCTGCATGATGTGTTGTATCAGAGAATCTTGCTTTTCGTTTTGTGTATGTAGAGCCCTACTGCTGCTGAGGTTGCTGCTGCTACACTGATCGTCTTCTCCTTCATTTGTTGTTGTGTGTTCGATAGAAGAATCAGATCATTTGTGAAATCTAGATCTTCGAGCTATATCGTATCTGTTCACTGTATCTCATGCTTCTGACCAGATGTTTACTTCTTCATGATCCAGTCGATCACCACAATATTTAATTATGTATTTGAAATAAATTAAAGTTAATGGATAACGTTTTATATTGAATTTAATTCATTAACAATGATTATAACAGAATATCATGAATTCACTCTGTCTTATTTCATTTGTATCTCATCAATTGCTTACGAGCCTATTATTACTTAAAATCATAAACATATAATCAGTTTGAATTACTTTCATGAAAGAATTCAGTTGGAAGGTATTTTGAAGATATATTAGTATAGTATATAATGAATATAAATAAGTTGAATAGACTGAATAAAATATTATAAATATATTCGAATTCATGAGTCAATTGAAGCTAGAGCACCATGGGAAACCTGGAAGCACTGTACGGCCGTTTCATCCTAGTATAGGACTTCTCAGAAGTGCGCATCCACGATCCCACCTCGCGAGATTTGAGTCCAGATCAGTCTCGCGCGAGAACGCTTAACCACTAGACAACTGAGTCGGCCGTTACCCAACGGTCTCAATGTCTAACTTCAACCAATCCACGAAGTTCCGCCACCGTCCACTAAGATGAAACGGCCATCCAGTGCTCCCAGGTTTTCTATGGTAATCTAGCTTCAATTGACTCATGAATTCAACTATATGCATATTGTCTACCAGTAACCACGATGTCTCCGATTGTACATTATCGTAACTTGTACATTGAAATGTTGTAAACTTTTCACAAATGCACTTAAATACGTTATGCGATTAATAGGTATATTGATGAGTTTAAACAAATAAGTAAACAGATAACTTGTTGAAATATCTAGTTGACAGGAACACATAGCCCAGATATTCAAGTAGACCGCTTTATTCGAATGTTTGATTCAAAGTAATATAGTCCCTATCAACTAATTAATCAATATTAAGAGAGATAGATCATGTTTCATGTATCATAAAAGCAATATTCATTTCCTGGTTTAAACAGTATGAACTTTATGTTTTGTAGTTGTACGTCCATTACATACCATGATTTCGAAACAATATCGCCATCTTCGAGATTACAATTATAGATTATGTAAGTAGAATTTTTTTTGTTCAGATTTTCCAAAGAATAACATTTTCAGATGAATAAATACTGTAATGAATGAGTACATAAATGGAGACAGTCGAATGTATTTGAATACAACATCACAGAACATCTTCATAAAATCTAAGAACCATGCAGTGAATACTTCAATTGCAAAATGTCTATCAATCCTCTCAGACTTGATTTTTTCTTTCGTCTTCACATCAATCACTGTTTGTTGTCGTTCTTTTTCCTTAGATCTTAATCTTCTACTACCACCAGACATTTCACTTTCGATCAATGATACACATACTACTTATATCACTGTCAACATCAGTAGCATACACTACAATAGTTCCTATTCAACTTTATTCATACTGTGTACAGTGTATAGAACAAGTGATTTAATTTTCGGATAAATCGAAATTAACTACTTAATTAACACTAATGGTGATTATTTTATCAGTAGTATATATCCAATTATTGTTCTAATTTGTCATTTCAGTTACATATGAATTTCAATTAAACATTGCCAATGAAATTACTAAACGTTTATCAAAATGTAAGTCAACATAAGAAACTGCTTGTATTCATTTTTGTTATAGTTGCTTATGTCTTCCCATTAATGTTTAGGACTGCAATTGATCAGTCTCATGTTGGCATATGTGCATCTTATGCAGATTGATTCGTATTAACTTAAGCTACAAGTATTATAAGCATAGATGGATATTGACTAGAAATGTAGTCCAGGACATGCGTTTTGTCCTATCTAGAACTCATAAGCCAAAATATCAGAATTCCAGAGTTGATGTATACCCTGGAACTCGAACATAGTACCACTCACTTTAAACGCCATTGCATTATCCACTAAGCTACTGTGTTCCGTTAGTCACTGACTTATGCAAAGGTGTCTCAACTAGTATGAAACGCGTTTCCTGTGCTACACTGCTATCAACCATCCATCTCTGCTTACAATGCTTGTGATTTAAGGCAATATCAAGGCAATCTGCATAAGATGCATATATCCCAATAAGTAAGTGATAATCTTAAACATATACGGAAAGATTCAAACAACCAATACAAAAATGAACTCAAACTTCACACAATTTCACAAGCTAGTGGTTATCAGGACAAAGAAGCTATGTAGACAACGCTATAGTGTTTAAAGCAAGCAGTGCTAGGTTTGAGTCCCGCAGTGAACATTAACACTGAGGTGCAAGTACGTCCAATTGACGAGCCCAAAACAGGACGAAACGCACGTCTTGGATTATACTGCCAGTCATTATCCATCTCTTCTCAGAAAAAAACTATTTGTTTGTATTTTTTCTAATTTGTATTAAATTAAACATCACTCGTTGGAATAAATCCATGAATCAATTGAAGCTGGACCACCAAGGAAAACCTGGAAGCACTGGAAGTCCGTTTCATCCTAGTATGGGACTCCTGAGCAGTGTGCACCCGCAATCTCGCCTTGCGAGACTCCAATCCAGAAGCCGATCAGATACTATTTTTATGTATAAACAGTGAAGGATCTACATTTTGACTGAATGATTGTTTCATTTTTTACAGACGAAAAATTGATAATGAAAAAAGATGATATTGAGTTCAACTTCCAAAATTCAGAACGTATGCCTTAGTTTAAAGAATTAAAATTCCCTTTCAAATGTTTTATCTTTATATTATGGATTTGATAAAAGAAACTGTTGACATTTATATTTTTGTGACTTCACGGAATTCATCACAATTATTTGATCATATTGAATCAAATGGTAGATGGATTCGAGTTTCACAGTGAGAATTAACACAAGAATGAATATACGGATTCGATCCTGTATCACCCAACTTCATAGTTAGAGACATTAGCACTGAGCAATCCGGACAACGATCGACCTTGTGTAGGACTGAGATGTGTTTACAATTGGTTGATCACTATGTGGTGATCGACGTCATGCGTGTTAGGTTCTTCTTAGTGCAGATCGAATCCTATCAACCAAGTTGCAATGTGGCCACCAGTCTAGGTGGCTCGAAATCGCGTGCACTATGCTGAGATGAGATGGTGGTTGGATGTAGTCAACAGGAAACTCTGGACCTAGATTTTATGCCAGTTGATGCTCGTCAGCAAGGTGTGCCTGTAATCCTGAGGGAACTAATGCTCCCTGACTGATTCGATCTCGTTTTACTCAACCTCACAGTCACAATGAATATACGTTCGGCTGAAAAATCCTTGAATAGGACAATTCACACATACTGCCTTCCAATATTAGCTATCGTAAAAGTACTTGGAATGGTTTTTCCTTGAATTTTAGTAGTTTTGGTTCAAACAGTTATAAGAAGAAATGACTATGTTTATGAAATATGTATTTATTAAGAAGTGAAGAATAATATTAGTTTCATATAGTATCTATTCTCAATTATCTTTTACCTAATTTACAGAGAACATAAAAGAAGAAATTGAACATATCAGAGAAAATGAAGCTCAAATGTTAAGCATGAAACGTAAATTTAAAGATAATAAATAGCGATAATAGACTGAAGGTCCTGGGTTTGAAACCCGCTAGCGTGATCGTGGCTCTGCACTGCTGAGGAATTCTTCAATAGAACAAAACGGTCGTTCAGCGCTTAAATGTTTCCAATGGTGGTCTAACATCAGTCGTGTTAATAATCTCAATCAATAACTTCATAATCTCCACCACCCTATATTGATAATAACAATGTGCTCACTGGTAACTAGTTTCTTGAGGGAATTCTCGGAGTTCTAATGAGAAGCCCTGACAAAAATTAACATTCATCATTTATTGTTTAAAGATAACAAATATAATTCTAGTACACATTTCAGATAAAATCAATATGGAATTGTCAACTGAAAGTCAAACAATTGATCAATGTACGTTGAAACATGAACTAATCAAACAAATTTATTTGATGATTGTAGATATGATGTGCAGAAGTAAACTTTATCAATCTATCGAACAAAAGATACTTATGGGAGGTCAGTGTGTACCGAATGTATTTCACTTCGGAATTGATCGTCTGCAAATTGTTGTTGTTGTTGTTGACGCTGATGATTTGTGTGTGAAGTATTTATGCATCTGATGATTTGATTATTAATATGAAAATTTGAGGTGTTTATCATACAGACATGGGATGTGTAGCTAGACTCAACTGTAGAACATGTAACATGACACATGGCAACAATGGGCATGGAGTTCGACAGTATTTGAGTATTTCACAACGAACACACTCAACATCCTACCGACTCACATCAATTATGCATACAGATGAGGTGATCGCACACACACACAAACACAAAGAGTTTGTTGAATGGGCACAAGTCAAACTGTTGGTTTCACTTACTTACTTACTTACTTACGCCTGTTACTCCTCGTGAAGGAGCATAGGCCACTCACCAGCATTCTCCATCCAACCCTGTCCTGGGCAATCCTTTCTAGCTCCGTCCAGTTGTAATTCATCCTTTTCATATCTGCTTCTATAATCCGACGCAATGTGTTCTTTGGCCTTCCTCTTTTTCGCCTCCCTTCAGGGTTCCAAGTTAGGGCTTGCCTCGTGATGCAGTTTGACGGTTTGCGTAATGTATGTCCTATCCATTTCCATCGTCTTTTCCTAATTTCTTCTTCAGCTGGAAGTTGCTTTGTTCTCTCCCACAGAAGGCTATTGCTGATGGTATCCGGCCAGTGGATGTTGAGTATCTTGCGTAGGCAGCTATTTATAAATACTTGTACTTTCTTGATTGTGGTTGTTGTAGTTCTCCAAGTTTCAGCTCCATACAGTAGAACTGCCTTGACGTTCGTATTGAAGATTCTCACTTTGATATTGGTTGAAAGTTGTTTTGAGTTCCATATGTTCTTCAATTGTAGGAATGCGACCCTTGCTTTGCCGATCCTCGCCTTTACGTCTGCATCTGAACCTCCTTGTTCATCGATGATGCTTCCTAGGTATGTGAAGGACTCTACATCTTCCAGAGTTTCGCCATCAAGAGTGATTGGATTGCTGTTCTCCGCCTTGAATTTGAGGACCTTGGTTTTCCCTTTGTGTATGCTGAGGCCTACTGATGCAGAGACTGCTGCTACACTGGCTGTCTTCATCTGCATCTGTTCGTGTGTACGTGATAGGAGGGCTAGGTCGTCTGCGAAGTCCAAATCGTCTAATTGATTCTGAGTTGTCCATTGTATTCCGTGTTTTCCTTCAGATGTCGAGGTCTTCATAATCCAGTCGACCACCAGAAGAAAGAGGAAGGGAGAGAGTAAACAGCCTTGTCTGACTCCAGTCCTTACTTGGAATGCATCTGTCAGCTGTCCTCCATGCACTACTTTGCACTGTAGTCCGTCGTATGAGTTCCGGATAATGTTGACAATCTTCTCAGGAACTCCGTAGTGTCGAAGAAGTTTCCATAATGTCCTCCTATCTACACTGTCGAATGCCTTTTCATAATCAATGAAGTTGATGTATAGTGATGAGTTCCACTCACTGATTGTTCGACGATGATCCGTAGTGTTGCAATTTGGTCTGTGCACGACCGATCCTTACGGAATCCAGCTTGTTGATCTCGAAGTTGGGCGTCTACTGCATCCTTCATCCGGTTCAGCAACACTCTGTTGAAGACTTTCCCTGGTATTGACAGTAGTGTAATGCCTCTGTAGTTTTCACATTTGCTCAGATCTCCTTTCTTTGGAATCTTGACGAGGTGTCCTTCTTTCCAGTCCATCGGCACTTGTTCCTCCTCCCAAATCTTTTTGAATAGAAGGTACAGCATGCTTGTGGTTGCTTCGATGTCTGATTTCAGTGCTTCAGCTGGTATGTTGTCGGGTCCTGCTGCTTTCCCGTTCTTGATTTGTCTGACGGCCATTCTAATTTCTTCCGTCGTTGGTGGGTTGACATCTATAGGAAGATCTATGTGTGCTGCTTCGATGTCCGGTGGATTCATTGGAGCCGGCCTATTCAGGAGTTCCTCGAAGTATTCCACCCATCTGTTACGCTGATGTTGAATTTCGGTGATTGGCTTGCCTTCTTTGTCTTTGACCGGCCTCTCTGGTTTACTGTATTTCCCTGCTAGTTTCTTCGTTGTATCGTAAAGCTGTTTCATATTTCCTTCTCTAGCAGCTTTTTCTGCCGTCGTTGCTAGTTCTTCCACGTATTTCTTCTTGTCGGCTCTAATGCACCTCTTCACTTGTTTGTTTGCTTCTATGTATTCAGCTTGTGCTTGAACTTTCTCTGCTCGTGTTCGGCTGTTGTTAATTGCTGCCTTCTTGTTCTTCCTTTCTTTGATCTTGTCCAGTGTTTCTATAGAGATCCATTCCTTATGATGGTGTTTCTTTAGGCCCAGAACCTCTTGACACGTTGAAGTTAATGCTTCCTTGATGCCTTTCCAGTTGTCCTCCATACTAGTTTCTTCTTCTTTCAGTAGATCTTGTAAGGCTTGGAACCTGTTGTTGAGAGCTATCTTGAATTCATTGAGTTTGTCAGTATCTCGAAGGAAGGCTGTATTGAACCTTTGTAGTGCTGTTTGTCCACTTGTCCAGTTCTTTTTTAGCTTCAGTTTTAAATTGGCTACAACTAGGTGGTGATCTGAAGCTACGTCAGCACCTCTCCTGGTTCTCACATCTTCCATTGTCCTTCGGAATTTTTTGTTGATGCAAATATGATCTATTTGGTTCTCTGTAGTGTGGTCCGGTGAGATCCATGTAGCCTTGTGTATACGCTTGTGTGGAAATATTGTGCCTCCTATGACCAATTTGTTGAATGCACATAGATTTGCAAATCTTTCTCCATTTTCGTTTCTCTGTCCCAGTCCATGTCGTCCCATGATATCTTCATATCCGGTGTTGTCTATTCCGACTTTGGCATTTAGATCTCCCATCAGAATAGTTAGGTCCTTTCTTGGCATTTCTCAATGATTGACTGTAGCCGCTCGTAGAACTGATCTTTAATGTCGTCGTTGCTATCATTGGTGGGTGCATAACATTGGATAATATTCATTAAGATCCCCTCCTTCTTTGTTTTGAATGATGCTTTGATGATTCTGGATCCGTGAGACTCCCATCCTACAAGTGCATTTCGTGCTACTTTGGACAGCATAAGAGCGACTCCCTGAGTGTGTGGAGCATTGTCCTCCTCGTGACCGGAGTATAGCAGCATCTCTCCCGTAGCTAGCCTTTTCTGTCCAGCTTGGGTCCAGTGGGTTTCGCTGATTCCCAGTACTGCTAAGTTGTATCTCCTCATTTCCATTGCTATTTGACTGGTCTTCCCGGTTTCCCACATTGTTCGAACGTTCCATGTACCTATAAAAATTTTTGCTCTGGTTGTTAGAAGGGGCATCGGCCTCGTGGCTTCCGAAGGAACTCGGCTTTCACCATGAAGCGTCATAATTCTTCTAACTGAAGACCTTCTAACTCCCAGGGCAGAGTTTAAATGGTTTGAATAATTTTTTCTGGTAAGCGTTTTTTTAGCGAGTTAGTTTTCTACGGGATGGGGACGCTAACCCCATGCCCAACCCTCCTCCTTTACCCGGGCTTGGGACCGGCAGTAACCCTATTAGAGCTACAGGCGGAGTTGTTGGTTTCACACCAATACAAATACAGATATTCACTCGTACCAAGTCTCGTGATAAGCATCTCAAACC